GGGGGGGGGGCGGGTCAGTGATTCCCCCTTCTGCATCCCTGCAGCACTCAGGCAACTGCTACTTCTACAGAGCACTTGCTGAACGGGCGTGAGCATCTGCTTGCGCTTCCCAGGCACCCCCTCATTCCACGTGCATTGCTTGTGATTTTGTTTTGGTTATCTCCTCCCGAAGTGTGGAGTTTTCTGTACAGATGTGAGCATACATGTAAAGGCAGAAGTGTGGCTACAGACCGACATGGGTAAATACACATAGACAGTAAACAGAGACACAGTGCACATATACACACAAATGGGTGGGTGAAGGCTCAGAGGTTTGGTGCTTTTCAGGTGCATTTCATGTTGGATTTTCTGACCCAGGCGTCTGATAAGGACCCTGGTTTGCTTTTTCTGCACTATTTAAAAAAAAAAAAGAGAGAAAGAAAGGTCACCAACAGTAAAAGATCTCTCCACTCACCACATGGTCACATTTTTGAAGACATACATAGGTTTTTCTTCTGAAAGCTCCTTCCAGACCTGGTCCTTGCTCTTTGGTATTTATGCGTTTACAAGAGACAGGCCCCCCAACCTAGTCTCTGGGGTGAAGATGAGATGGGAGGGGGTCAAAGGGTTAACATTACCTGTATGACAGCCCCCGATACTGAGTGGTGAGATTAGGAAGTTCGCTTGGTTTGGAGCGGATTCCACTGCCAGCCTTTGAAAACATACCAAAATCCACAGGAAAGTCAGCAAGTCAGAGAAAATGCAGGCCGTGGGTGGGCAGGGTGTCTGCAGGTGGTTCCCAGCACACTCATCGCGCATGAGCAGAACGCTGGACCGGGAGTCAGAGAACCTGGGCTCACATCCCTCGAACCACAGCTGCTTCCTGACTTCCCTGAGGACACGCCTTGCTCATCTCACGGGGTTTTTTGATGACCAAATTGAATCAGTTGTAAAAACAGTTTGGAAGACTCTAAAGCGCTTTACAAGTGTGAGACCCTGTTATGTGATTACTATCAGCACCAGGCTCCTAAGTTCTTTATAAGCATTGAAGGAGGGGTTCATAGATTTGAGTGGATTGCAGTGGGCAGGTTTCTCATAAACTTTACATTTCTCTTCTCTCCCTCTGGGGCATTCTGTAAGGCAATCTCATGGCGTTAGGCATGCTGCCAGAAAGTGGTCCTCTGGGCTGGTAAAAGAACTTAGGAGCAGAGGTTTAGCCACAACTCTGGAGTCTTTGCTACTTTGTGTGCAGATACAAAGAGGAAACAGGTGGGAGGGTCTGAGCTGCTTACACAGCAGCATCCAAAGGGAAAAGAGGACCCACACAGATAGGCGTAGAAGGCTTTTTCAGTCAAAATGACATTTTTGTAATTGTTAAAAAAGTGTTGTGAGGTGTCAAAAACCTCCATTATCTGAGATAATTCAGTTCACTCCTGAAAAGACTTCTCTTTGCACACCTGAGTGAGAAAGTGGCTGCAAAACAAGCCTTTGCCATGTTCTTGGACTGACAAGGCCAGAATAGAGAGGGGGGTGATGCAGGGGTCAGGAGCGCTGCCCTGCAGTTAGGACTGGAACTGATGCAGCCACCCGCACACCACCCGGGGCCCAAGAGTCCTTACGGTCAGAGAATCCCCCAGAGCAGCCACAACTTGGATATCTGCTGGTCTCACGGCATGCACTGGAGAGACAAGTGGATACACTTGAGTCTGCGGGAAGGAAGCTGCGGTCTGAGTCTAGTGCTCCTTTAGCAAGAGCAGAAACACCGCCACAGGTGCATTTGGCTCACGCAGGACTGAGTGTCCATAGTGCCCTGGAGGCAGGGGTTATATACAGACAGACTTTCCCCATAAGGACATAATAAAGGAATCCTGGACCTATGGGGAGGGAGAGGTGCTGAGAGAGAGGGAGAAGGAAAGGGAAAGGAAGGAAGGAAGGAAGGAAGGAAGGAAGGAAGG